GGTAAAAGTGGCAGTGCTGGAATTGGAAACACTATCCCTGACCACAGAGTCCTCAGTCAGGTGAGGGGACCAGATTGGGGTAGGGGCAACTGGAGGGGGAGTATACCAGGCAGCTCCTGGGGGGTGTTGCCCTGCTCGGGATGGGCTGCCCTCAGCCCCCGCTTTGGGGCAAGCTGTTGCAGCCCTCTGCCTGGGGCAGGCTGCCCTCGGCCCCCGGCTCGGGGCAAGCCATCGTGGCCCTCAAGGTGAGCTCCTCAGTACCCAGATTGTGCCATCTGACCCTTGGGTGGGGAAGGAGAAGAAGTAAAAAAAAAATGCCTAGGGTATCCAGAGAATGTTACCTAGGCCACCTTCTGCCACCCTCCCCCCCAGTAAACTTGAAAGCAACACCCTCAAAGCCCTTCTATTTGTAACTCACAAGTTTGTTCTCTCTAGGTTTGCTCCCTTTCCTATAGGTAACCTTACCACTGAGTTTTACTCCAGAATTGACCCTGAACCCAGTGCCAGTGACAAAAAGGAAATACAACTGACAGCTAAGGAAACAAAGGAGGATGGAGCCTCTGGGTTCAACCAGCCATCCCCACTGGACCCACCTGGGAAAACACTTTGCAGTCCAGAGGGGAGCAAATGACAGGAAAATATCTTCTAACAGAGCAAGAAGGCAAGCAGCTTTAACCCAAGACCACCAGTAAGGTGGTAAAGCGTCCTCCCTTCCCCCCTTTACATCTACGCCCCTGTTCAGCATGAAGAAGCCAGAGAGTCGGCATCCAATTCCCAAATCAATAAGACAGTTGGTTTAATTACTATTGGAAAATGCTTGTCATTCCTCTGTAGCATCTGGTCCCCACTGGACCCTCATCATTTCCTTCACCTGCTCCCCCCCCGACCAAACTGTGCAGCTCTGCAACTGCATCCTGGCCCATCCTCACCCTTCTGCCCCCAACCCTCACCTCCTTATACCCCCAATATGTTTTTCCCAATAAAAAAAATAGTTCACATTTTTCTTGTTCAACACACATTTCCCCCAGATTTCTTGCTTCCGTATTGAGGAATCTTCTTAATTCAGAAAGGTGTATTGATACCCATGTGCTTTAAATTTGAGGGAGATCAGCCATTTGATGAATATTAGAACTTGACATATCCCAATGAGACAGAGCATCTTCCTCTTTGCAATATTCATCCTACATGTGGCAGCCTTATGTAACACCATTCCAAGGGAGATGCTTATATAAAAGAGCAATAATGTATGTTTCTGCCACAAACTGAGCATAAATCATTCTGTGGATACAGAGCACAGTTCCCGTGTGAGGATCTCTTTCAATGTAGGGCACTCCTTTTCTCTGAGTCCACATTTGCCCAGATGTCATCACAATCACAAAATACAGAATTAAAAGTGCCCGGACCATTTTGTTAAAAATAATCCCCCTCTTTATTTTCAGTAAATATGCAAGTCCACCACTGAGCACCAAAATGGACTCGAGCATGAAAAAATCTTGTTTATTCATATGCTTCCTGATGCTGATGTTTGTCCTCAAGAACACCCATTTAGCCATTTGCTCAGCTATTATATGCCTTCCTTCCAAATTATAAATATCATCTAGTGTAAAGCTCTTTTCAGCAGAGAAGTGGAGTACATTTGGAACGGCCATCATTTTGATTATGTGAAAGGCCTCGGAGCTCTCATCATAATCCACCATAGCAAAAAATACCTTGTGGGGGAAAGTCCTGGAATGTTGCCAGGAGTTTGCCAAGATCTGGAATTCTTCCGCAACACGTTTGCACATTACACACCGTCTTAAGTCATGAAGAGCTGTAAACATCACAATCATAGCATAGTTTCTTGGTAGTTCTAGCACTAAATGATAGAACATGGTGTTACTCATTCTTATCACACTGTTTTTCTTGGTCCAGTCTGTCAGCTGGCTGACCTTTTCTGCTAACTCCTTCCCTTGGGCGCAATCGGAGGTGATTCTGTGAGCCATGAGTTGTCCATTCAGTGCCAGTCAGACAGACACAAAAGACAACACAGTTTTGCCATATGGACAGACTTCTTTCTGTTACAAAATCTTGTCTAAACAAACATATCAGTCAAAAAGTCCTCATTTCTTACATCAATGAACTGACCCAAGACTTTTTCTGTCTTCACAAATCCTGGTAAACGTGCATGCCCAGTTGCATCACAAAGTGCTGTTTATGTCTAGTTTATGAATCATACCTTCAAAAAAACTGCCAACCAAACCAGTTGCCATGGTGTGGATTCTGACTCGTGGGGCCCCCACTGTCCTCTAGAGGCTTTCCAATGGCTGCCTTATCAGCAGTTGTCCATCAGGGCTTTCTGCCCAGGTAACTGTGGATAGCTTTGAACCGTCAACCATTTGTTTAGTTGCCAACTGCCTAGGGACTAAACCATATTTGTTATTGTTATGTGCCGTCAAGTTGCCTACGACTCATAAGACCCTATGTACAACAGCTCTGAACCCTGCTCTATCCTGTGCCAACTTTATTGTCTCTGACAACCTATACCCATTACCCCACTCAATCAATCCATCTCATAGAGGATCTTCCTCTCTTGTGCTGTCCCTCCACCCTCCCAAGCATGACGTCCCTCTCCAAGGACTGGCCCCTCCTTTCAAACTGCCCAAAGTATGTCAGACACAGCTTTAGAATCCTTTTCTCTGTCAATACGGATTGAAACTCAACATCAAGAAAATAAAAACCATATTTAGAGTTTATAAAATATTTCATGGGAAGAAAATGTTCTAGGATCAAGGCAGTTGGAGAAATCTTTTACCAGGTTCAGTCTTTTGGTGGAGTTCTAAGCTCGCATTTCTGCCCTCTGAGCAATGCCTGGAGCCATTAGTACTTCAGCCCAAATGCCAGCATAGTCTCCATCAAGCACATAGTTTGGTGCCTTTTTTTCCTCCCTCTCAAGAATAACGCCTTCTCACGAATTGCTAGAGTTTTGAAATCAAGGGGTTCTTGTACTCCTCTTTTTCCCTTCAAATGTCCAACTTGAGGTTGGCCTCTGGGACTGATTGCCTGAATTTGGGTCCAGGTGTTAGGTGGCCCTGGACACGATCCTTACTGCTCTGTGCCTGTTTCCTCACCTGTAAAGTGTGAATAATAGGTGAGCTCTGGTGGCCTACTGGCAAGAAGCTGCACTGCAATCCCAGAGGTGTGTGGTTCAAATCCACCAGATGCTCTGCTGAAGGAGGGACAATCTCCTCCTGTACCAGTCAGATCCGATTTGACGGTGCACACATAACAAAATAATAATAATTTAAAATTTATTTTTAAAAGTGTGAATAATAATACAACTCATGTATGGGGTGGCTGTGCAAAGTCCTCAGGATAGAGCCGGCCTGCTGGTTTGGGGGCCCCTGTCTCTGCAGGGTGTCCAGCGCCACCACTAGAGGCGGTGTTGGGTGAGGCCCGGGAGGCCGTGGACCGGGTGCCAGAGCCACCTGCGTGTCTGGCCCCCGTTTTGGCTTTGTAAACTTGTTACCTGAGAAACTTGGATGTGCCTGCCTCACCAGTGAGTTATGAGAATGAAATGTCAACATATTTCCCATATCTAGAGCTGCAGGAAGGCATGGTTGATCCCCCCTTTTTAAAGAAATATGTGAGTTTTGATCATTTCTGTGCTTTCAAACAGGTGGATTAAATTGTCGAATACAAAGCCAAAATGTATGTAATGTAGTGATATGTGCCATATACTTTAAAAAAAAAAAAGGATCTCAATTCGGGAGTGATCCTGAGCGGGAGATTTTTGCTTGTTCTGTGTCGTCAATTTTTATCCCGTCGAGGTGTAGCTTTTGCTAAAAATAAAACTACTTCATGTTTAAATAAAATGAATATGATATTGTAGTCCTTCCTTCTCATGTCCCCTCCTTCAGTCCCAGCGCGCACACACATACACACACACACACACACACACACACACACACTCACCAGGCTGACTGAAGCCTGCTGGTTACCTTGGGGGAGGGGGACGGTCGCCCAGCAACTGGAGGTGCTTAACAACAGAGAGCCTCGCCAGAGGCCAGGGGAGGTCATAATGCAAGCGGGGGAAGGAGGTAAGAGGAGGCTACGGGGCCAACGGAGTGGGGGGGCTCACATGAGGTCTAGTTCCCCTCTTCCTTTCCTCCACCTTTCTCAGACCCAGAGCTGGTGTATTAATTCAAGACAAACCCCACTATTACCCTGGAAAGGGGCGGAATCGGCTGGACTCCTCCCACAAGGGGGGGGAAGCTGTCAAAAAACCCCTTACCGTCCAAGAGAGGTGGGGTTGGGGGGGGAGTGTGTCAGATAGGGGAGGGGCAGGGGCAGCCTCCACCCCAAGTGCCAGCCCTAATCAACCTGCTGCCCCGCAAAATGAGTCTGACCTCCCCTGCATTAAGGACTGGGCTCCCTCCCTTCTTAGGCCCCACAGGCTTTGACTTTGGGGATAGGGTGCAAAGAAGTGACTCAACAAGATTTGGATGCTGGATGTGGGGGTGGAAACTGAATTAAAGGCCATTTTTCCTGCTATTCCAGCCTAAAAGAGACTCCTCAACACGCATACACGCAGACACATACCTACAAACACCAGACTCCATTATTCCCTCTCACCTGCTCAATGGGCGCTCTGGTAGCCTAATGGTAAGAATCCACCAACCCCTCTGCTGCAGAAGGATGAGCAGTCTCCTCCCGGGCCATTTACTGCCTCTAAAAACCTGCTGGAGGGTCAGGGCTCTGACATGACACACAGCACCACCCCTTTCTCAAAGACCTGCAGGGCCCTAGGAGTTTGTATCTGTGGTTGAACTGGTAAACGGGAAACTTAGTTACTGCCTCACACAAAATCGAGTAAAGTCAGGACTGAACCCTAGGCTTCCTCAAGGAAAGTACTTTTCCAGAAAAATGGGCATGAACATTTCCTTTAGAGGAGATGTTTGCTCTGTAAGAGCACCTCCTAACTGACCTTCTAAAACCTTGTCTTCCCTCTATTCAGTAGAAAGTGCGTGTCTTGACCCAGGCCTAGAGATTTCTAACCCTTCTGATCCCTGCACCATGACCACAGTTAGTGTCAAGCCTAGTCAGCGCTTCCGGCTGACAGACTGGCACACCAATAGCTACCTGTTGTCCACCAATGCTGAGCGGCAGAGAGATGCTTCCCATCAGATCCGCCAGGAGGCCCGTATCCTCCGCAATGAGACCAACAACCAGGTTAGGGGCTGGAGCCTAGTTGGGTGAGTCAAGAGAGATCACCCAGCAACTGGCACCTTCCTTATCTGGCTCTGACTCTGTCTCTTCCAGACCATCTGGGATGAATATGACAATAAGACTCGTCTGGCAGAGAGGATTGATACTGTCAACCGGTGGAAGGAGATGCTGGACAAGTGCCTAACAGATTTAGATGCTGAGATAGACACCCTGACACAGGCAGGAAGCTGGGCTGGGTGCCAGGAGACATGGCTTCCGGGACTCCCCTCACTTCCTCTTTCTGGGTCACGGAACCTTTGATGGGGTAATTGGGTAACTGGTGGCACGCCCACGTAAGGCACTCACCCGCTCCTCTGCTAAATGGGGATGAGGGTGAGCTCCCAGTGCGTGATTCCACCAGGCTCCCTGTGCCCCTTTTCTAGATAAAGGAGTCAGCAGAGCAAAACCTGCAGGCCAAGAACCTGCCTCTGGATGTGGCAATCGAGTGTCTGACCCTGCGGGACAGTTGTCGAGACATTGATGTGGTGGACGACGACGTGGAGGATGAGCTACACAAAGAGGTGGAGATTATCGACGGTGCCAGGAAGGCCTTGCAAGAGAAGATCCACCAGGCCTTTGAGCAGCTCTGGTAAGGGACAGGAGTGACATTCGGATGTTCACGTGGACTTGGTTGAGTGTCTCGCCTGTGGAACATGTATGTGGAAAACAAATAACCGGCTTTTATGCTTTCACCCTTCCTATGCTCATGGCCACCAAACCCAAAACCTCTGCCATCAAGTCGGGTCAAATGGACTCCAACTCTCAGTGATCATCAGGATTCTGAGGCTGTAATCCTCCCAAGAGGCTGGTGGATTCAAACTGTTGACCTTTTGATTGTCGTTGTACAATAACATTGCACAATGGCCCCTGACAGAGTTGTCATGACCAACATTTGTAACTGATCCACACCATCCTTCCTACAGCTGGGCCATGGTCTTAGAATGCTCCTCACAACCCTGTTCTAAGCAGCCATTATGAGCAAATTGGAAGCAACAAGAGAGAGAGATGAAGCTCATTTGGCACCACGTCTGGGGACCTTGTGCGTGCACACGTGTGTGCAAGCATGTGCACACACAAGCATGGATGCGTCCCTGTGGGTATGAGCAAGCACCTGGTGCCATGGTATTGTCATGGCGAGTTCACTCAGTTGTGCTGGCCTTTGTCCCACTGAGGCAGCCGCTTCATTGTCTCCTATTGGGAAGGGTCATCCTAGAGTCCCCTTTGCTCACTGAGGGGCAGTTTCAGGTCATGTCTGCCCCTTCTCCAGCTTCCTGCAGGAAGTCCGACAGCAGCTCAACTCTGACCAGCGGAGCAAAATGGAGACGCTGGAGATTGACAGAGGCTGCCTGTCTCTCAACATCAACTCTCCAAACATCTCTCTGAAGGTCAACCCTACTCGCATCCCAGATAAGTAAGAAGAGTGCTTCACATCAGTCTCTCCTCCCTCTTCCCTCTCCCGCCATCACTCACAAGTCACACCCTGGTAACCCTGTTGTTCCCTGCCACCTGCAGCTCCTCCACACTCCAGCAGTGGGATGAATTCAGTCAGTGCAACAAGAATCGGGCAGAGGCCGAGATGAAAGCAGCCTCAGATCTGAGGGAGACCATCGCCCTCACGATTGCTGAGGTGACTGGCCACTGCCCGACTCAGCTTCTCCATGGCTAATAGGGTGCCAGGTTGGCCCACCTGTGCACTCAAGCCCTTATTTCTTTTGTCAGCCATGGACACTCCTTCCCTCAGCTGAACAATTTCCTCAGATGGTCATGGGCTGCTTTTGTCCTGCCTACTTCCTGTCTTTCAGACTAATAATGAACTTGAAGCCCAGAGGGTTGCAACAGAATTTGCCTTCAGGAAGCGCCTTCGGGAGAAAGAGAAAGTGTACAGTGAGCTCAAGTGGCAAGAGAAGAATGTGAGCCTTCACTTAACCTCCTGGGGTCTGGAGTTCCTGTGGTGGGACGAAGCACCCAGTACCCACCCTGCAAGCCAGGGCTGGTGGCGACCAGGCACCCTGTCCCCTGCAGACCTTAGAGGAAATCGCTGCACTTCAGGAGGATATCAGACACCTGGAGGAGGATCTGCGGAGGAAGTTTCTGAACCTGAAGCTAGCACATACCCGGCTGGAGTCCAGAACCTGCCGGCCCAATGTGGAACTCTGCCGGGATCAGGTGAGAGGGTATTCCAGTGGGGCTCTTGCTAGAGCAGCCAGACCTGTGACTGACTGTAAACTCTTGCCTCTCCTTCTACCTCCAGGCCCAGTATGGGCTCACAGACGAGGTTCACCAGCTGGAGGCAGCTATAACTGCCCTGAAGCAGAAACTGGCACAGACACAGTAGGTTTGCGGAGGGGGCTGGAGGGACAGGGAGACACCTTCCACTCACAGCCTGCTGCTTGCTTTGGGTTTTATTTTCCTGCCTGAAGACCCACAGGCCCAGCCTCCCAATAGGTAATTCATGCTTCTTCCCCAGGGATGCTCTGGATGCGCTGTACAAGCATCTGGCCTGGCTGCAGGCTGACATCGCCTGCAAGGCCAACACCATGCTGCTGGACACCAAGTGCCTGGACATTCGCCGGAAGCTAACAGTGCCTGCAGAGAAGTTCGTGCCAGAGGTGGACACCTTCACCCGCACCACAAACCGTACCCTAAGTCCACTCAAAAGTCGCCAGCTGGAGCTGGCCTAGCCTAGAGCGGCTAGTGGGAGAGGGAAGTTAAGGGTGGACAATTTTAAAAGGGCCTGAAACTAATAAATGCCTGGGTGCTATGCAAGACTGTTCTTCGCTACCCCAGTAGGAGCAAGAAGGTGCTTGGTCACCCTGTGAAATGAGGAGCAAAGATGAGAAGAATCACCTCCCCAAATTACTGTATTTCAAAACCAACTCCTTCCCCTCCTTTAGGGAATCCCACTCTAGGCTAGGCCAGTACCCCTGGGGTCCCTAACTGCACTGCCTCACCCCAGCTGTGCTGGAGGTGGCCAAAGCTGGACCCCTGCCTGTCCTTTAAAGGCCTACAGTAGGGTCAGTGGGGACAGGGGTCACAGAGCGAGGGGATTAAGGCTGAAGGAGGAGAGAATAGGGGAAGGAAGTTGGGGGTTGAAGGTGAGGGGGTCCCAGGCCGGCCAAGGAGGGAGTGTGGCCAGGCCGACAGGGGTATTCAGGGGCACCTAGCAAGGCTTCAGAAAGCTAGACTGTCGTGCCCAGTGATCACCCCGGCCTGCTGTGTTCCGTTCAAGGCGAGAATGAGGTGAAAAGAAGCCTCCCAACTAGAAATAGTGATCAGGTCAAGGGATCGTCCTTCACTGGGACTGCGCGGCTTTGCGACTCCGAGCCACTAGGAGGCGCTGTAGCCCGACGAGCTGCGCGGAGGCTCCAGGCCACCGGGAGGCACTGTGGGCGCGCGCGTGGGGAGCAGGCCGCCGGTACCGGAAGTTGTGACTGGAGCACGGGTGGATGGCGGCGGTAGCGATGACGGCGGCGGCGGGCTGCGGAGGGGCTGGGGCAGCACGCTCCCTCTCCCGCTTCCGAGGCTGCCTGGCTGGCGCGCTGCTCGGGGACTGCGTGGGCGCCATCTACGAGGCGCACGACACCGTCAGCCTGACGTCAGTCCTGCGTCACGTGCAGAGCTTGGAGCCGGACCCGGACACGCCGGGCAGCGCGCGGACAGGTGGGCGGGGCCGGGCGCACCGGGAGCGCGCACGGGTCCTCCGGGGACGGCGCCCTCTGTGCATGGGGTCAGCCGAGCAGCCCGGCCCTGCGACCTGGAAGTGGGGACCGGAGGGATGGAGGGCCCGAGGCTGCGCGAGCCAAGAAGGGGAAGGGGCGCTCTGGTGTGTAAACCAGATGAATCTGTAACTGCACGAACTCGCAGGCATTTCTCAGTCACCTAGTTTAAATTACCTTTTCATGTCTAGCTCAGAAATCTCCCTGATAATCCTGAACTCAGGTAGAACGGCACCATTTTCTTAACTCTGCAAGCCAGAAACCTGAACGTCAGTCAGTATTGGGCCTGGTCCAACATACACCCCCCTCCCTTAGTTCTCTACAGCCATTACACCACCAGTTCGTTCTCCACCAAGCAGAGATTGCTCTAAAACATCGTTCGGGCTGAATAAAATTGCAATGATTTCTGAGTATCCTTAAGACAGAGCCACATTCGTGAACGTGCCCGAGCAGGCCTGCAACTCCTTATTTCACCTTGGCCTTGATTTTTGTTCCTCACGCACAGCGCTTCCTCTAGCCACAAGTCCTTTGCACGTGCCGTTCCCACACTGTAGAGCACTCACTCTTTTCAGCTCAGGCGTCTCTCTGAGGTAAAATAGGTGATTCCAATTGAAGAACATGTAGTAATAAAAAGACCCAATCAGAACCCTGGAGCACTTGCTGTTTAAGAGAGTGGTGGAAGAGGAGGTAGGGAAACACTTTGAGGCAAGAGGGGGATCAGAGAACGGTATCAGCAGAACCAGTAAAAAGAATTTCAAGATGAAGACACTGGTTACTGAGTGGCATGCTGCAGAGAAATGAAACGGGATTCTCAATTTAGTGAAAGCATTTTCAGATGTCTGGGTTAAGGAAGAGATGGAAAATGAGAAAATAATATCACTTGGTGTGAAGGGAAGGAGAAAAATGTACTGTAAAGTCAAGACAAGTTGAAGAGATAATGTTTTATTTTAGACTTGATGGTAAGAAGAGAAAAAAATAGCGCGAATGAGGTTGAGAAGTGTTTTAGGACCGTTTAGATGCAAGTGACAGAAAACGCAAAACAATGTAGGCAAAAAAGAAAATGCTTGGACTGATGTTGCTGAGAAGTCCTGCAACAGCCCTGGCTTCCTGGCAGACTGTAAGTGTTATGGTGGAACTGTGCTCAGATAGTGTTTTGAGAAATAGATTCTTCTGTCCTTTCTTCCATGGTAGCCTCTAGGTGAACTCAAACTTCCAGCAGTTCACATCGTTGAATGTGTTAGCTGTGTCACCCAGAAACTTCAGTTTGAAATCCACCAGAACAGCATTCAGAGGTTCAGACCATATCTTCAAGATGGTGTTCCTCTTCAGTGCTCAGATCTATGTTGGCTTCACTCGCTCTCCCATGGATCTTTCCCCTGGGGTGACCCCAAGCAACTTCCAGCTCAACCAGCCAGCAGCAGAAGAGATTCCCTTCATAATAGTCCCAACAAAATTCCCAAATTGAGTCTCATTGGCTTGGCTTGTGGTATGTATATCCATGAACTAGGGAATATGTGTGCTATTTGGCCAGGCAGACGGTAAGCTCCACTGAGAGTAGTGGAGAATTATTATGAGTACAGTGGTCAAAAAAAAAGGAGCTGGATGTTACTCCCAAAAAGAAATTGAGGATATAGGAGTGAAGTCAGAACACAGGGAAGAGCAAGGTCCTGGGGAGTGGGCCAGAGGGAGACTGGAAAGGGCAGCTGTGGCCCAGAACTTGGTGATCTCCCTTCCAAGGGAAGTGAGTGAGGCCCCTTTAGAGTGAGAAGTCAGGAATGGAGTTAGGGGCTTGAGATACCCGGAAGATGACCAAATAGGAGACCTGAGGAACAGGAAAGTACACTCATTGAGCAATCTACTTCCTTCTTTTTAATTTTTTTTTTTTTTATTTTGTGTGCGTGTACCGTCAAATCAGATCTGACTGGTACAGGAGGATATTGCGCCTCCTTCTCCGGCAGAGCATCTGGTGGATTCGAACCGTGTTCCTCTGGGATTGCAGTGCAGCTTCTTGCCACTAGGCCACCAGAGCTCCCCCTTACTTCCTTCTTTATAAGGATCTTTTTAAAAGATCCTGTCCTTAGCAGGATTATAGCCTGAGAAGTCACAAGATAACCAGTAGGGCTGTGTTAGAAGTGTCGGATCAGTGGCCATAGGCCCTCAAAGGAAGGAGACAGCACTGGGTAAAGGAGGAGAGCACCCCCAACTGGGAACAACTGAGGGCAGTGGTGGAGTGGAAGATGGAAGGGGCTAGACCGGGATTTGAATGTTAAGGCAGAGCGTTTGGACCTCGTCCTGAAGCTAACAGCCAGCTCTTGTGAGGAAGGGAAATGAGATTGTGATATTCTATGTGCAAGAATAATATTCTGGCTGAATGTGTAAGTTGGATTGGAAGGCGAGAGTGTGCAAGATTGTTGAGAGGTTCTTGCCACAGCTTAAGCTAGTGATGGCAGCCAGAGAGGACAAGAGGAGTTCTTTCAAAATCAACTGGCTGTGGCCACTGACCCAGAATAAGGACTCAGGAAAACCCCAAGGCCTAGATCCTCAAATAGGAGTGAGGGGTTGACGGAAGGTCACTTTATAAAAAACTGTTAAGAGTTTTATAGCAGCAGTCTGTGGCTCATTCACACCCCTCTACCTTCTCTTCACAGAAGCATTATACTATACAGATGACACAGCCATGGCCAGGGCCCTGGTGCAGTCCCTGCTGGCTAAGGAGGCCTTTGACGAGGTGGACATGGCTCACAGGTGAGGAGAGGTGACGTGGGCTTAGAAGAGTGAGATAAGACATTGGCTACCATGGCGAGCTCTGGTGGCCTAGTGGCAAGAAGCTGCAACTACAGTCTCAGAGGTGCATGGTTCAAATCCACCAGATGCTCTGCTGGAGAAGGAGGAACAATCTCCTGTACCAGTCAGATCTGATTTGACGGTACACACAAAAAATGATAAAATAAAATAAATTAAAAAAAAAAAAGACATTGGCTCCCCCTGACTGATGTCCATGCTTGTGTGGGATCCCCCTTCAGCAGGATGTTGTTTCTAAGGCAGATAGTAGAGGGCCCCCAGCACTCTAAGGTTCTATTCCTAAACTAGCAAGATCTCCTTTCTTCCAAGCCTAAGAGGTAGGTGGTAAACCCAATTCCATTTCCCTTCTATCCCTCAGGTTTGCTCAGGAGTACAAGAAAGACCCCGACAGAGGTTATGGTGCTGGAGTAATCACTGTCTTCAAGAAACTTCTGAACCCAAAGTGCCGTGATGTCTATGAGCCCGCCCGGGCCCAGTTTAATGGGAAAGGCTCCTATGGCAACGGGGGTGCCATGCGGGTGGCTGGCATCTCCCTGGCCTATAGCAGTGTCCAGGATGTGCAGAAGGTACCCAGGGCTGGGCTTGCCCTTCGCGCCTTCCTCTTTTCTGTGGCACAGGTTCTGTGACAGCAGGTTCTATAACAACAGGGTTTTGCCTCTACCACCTTCTCCCTAGTTTGCCCGGCTCTCAGCCCAGCTGACACATGCATCTTCCCTGGGCTACAACGGTGCCATCCTGCAGGCCCTGGCTGTGCACCTGGCTTTGCAGGGACAGTTATCCAGTGGACACTTCCTGGAGCAGCTCCTAGGTCGCATGGAAGAGTTGGAGAGTGATGCCCAGTCCCTCTCAGATGCCAGAGAGTAAGTACAGATGGCCTGGAAGCTTGAGTGTGTGAGTGTGCACAGCAGGAATGCTTGGCACTGCCACGAGGCTGAGGCCTGCGCTCCAGTTGCACATTCTAGAAACAAAGAGTGGGAAGAGGCTTCTTTGCTTTGGCTGTTGGGGTCGCAGCGAGGACTATCCATTCATTCCTTGTCCTCTTCCACTTCTTCTCCTGTCAGGTCAGTCCCCTACCTTTGCCCCCAGGTTAGCTGTCCACATGCACCTCTCCCCCAAGTACAGCCTCTACCCCAGCCTGCATCCCCTTCCCTGACGTGTCTCCCACACTAACAGGCTGGGCATGGAGGAGCGTCCGTACTGCAGTCGACTGAAGAAGATCGGAGAGCTGCTTGAGCAGCACTCGGTGACCAGGGAGGAAGTGGTGGCTGAGCTCGGTGGGTAGACCCTGACCAGGATTAGTTGTCCCTTCCGTCATCCTCCGAGTCAGACTTGAGCTTGAGAGGGCCCTGGGCTAACATGACAGCCAGAACCATGCCTCAGGCAGCCCTTGGCAGAGATGTGGGCATGGAGCCTTCTTGCTCTGGGGCTGCTTGACCTTCCACCTAACAGTAAATATACTTAGAAACAGTAGTTGGCCACCAGTTTTTATTACTAGTATTGGTGACTGGTGATTGTAGTGCTTTAATTACTGTGCAGAATGGTGAGTATAGATGATTCCATTTACTTCTCACAGCAGCACTGGAAGTGGATTATTATCTTCACTCTCTACCGTAAGGAAGAATCAGATCTAATATATGGGCATCTCAGGGGTTAAGTAACTTTCCCAGTTACCCAGCTGAAGTGGTTGAGCAAGGATTTGAACCCAAGGAGACTAGCTCTAATCACAGCCCCTTTTGGAGCAGAGTCTTGGCTTAGCAAAGTGGCAGGAACTCCCAGGCATAGGATGTAAGGCAAGCCTCCACCCTCTGGTCTCCCCACAGGAAATGGCATCGCTGCCTTTGAATCTGTGCCCACTGCCATCTACTGCTTCCTGCACTGCATGGAACCTGACCCCGAGATCCCCTCCACCTTCAATAGCCTCCAAAGGACGCTCATCTATTCCATCTCACTTGGTGGAGACACAGACACCATTGCCACCATGGCTGGGGCCATTGCTGGTGCCTATTACGGGATGGAGCAGGTGTCTGAGAGCTGGCAGCAGAGCTGTGAGGGCTATGAGGAGACAGACATTCTGGCCCAGAGTCTGTACCGGCTCTTCCAGAAGAGTGTGTGAGGGTCACAGCTGCTGAGCTCTGCTGTGGCCAGTGGGACCAGTGACACCTCAGAATGGACCTTGACTTGTTCCCCTGCCTCAGTCGTCCTGGGGCACCAGTGGGCTTGGGGTCTCTGGGGTCACTGGAACAGTGATTAACACGTTGCCACACACTTTTAAGTTGACGACCGTGCTTAGAAACACATTTTTTCCCCCAATTGTTTATGACTGCCATACGAATCATGTTTTTTTATTAATTAAAATGTGCACGATGCTGCCGTCATTTGTGGCAACGTGTTAAGGGCCAGGCGCCTCCTGGTGCTGGGCTCCTGGTTTGTTGAAGAGCCGTGGGGTTTTTCTCAGTTCCTGAGCCAAAAGACATGGGAAACAGGGCAGGTTTTATTCTGGAGAAATACTTCTGGTGGGGGTTTTTCTTATCTTGGATGTGGGATTTGGGGAGGTCGAAGTGATCTGCAGTAGCTTCATTTCTCCCTGTTGAGTTTTAGCCAGTTTTTCAGAAAGCCAGGCGTTGACTAGCCAGAGTTTCTGAGACAGCGCGTTTGTATGGATCAAGGACAGAGGTACATGTATCTAGCTGATCTAGGTACACACCTGGCCCTTCTCTCTTAATGGTTTTACTACAAGCTCCCAGTGAAAGTCACTGAGCAATAAACAGTCCTTGGTAAATTTCACCACTGTTTCCAGTGTTTCTCCCTCTGCCCTGAATAAACATTTCTCCCCAGGCAACTTGCCTTTCTTAATCCCTGTTCCTCTCCTTTGGGGCTATGCTCCCCCAGGAGCTAGGAACTCAAGTTGAGCTACTGTGTTGTGGAGGTCAGTTCCTCTAGGAGTTCTAGCTGATCGCTGGCTGGCTGGTTAGGAACAGCAGAGCATGCATGATTTGGTGATGGTTCCAATAGGCGATCGCTCAGAACGGCCCTAGCAGCTCAGCCAAGTGCTTTGCCAAGGCAGTGGGCAGGAAGGGCGTGACTTCATAGGTTGCTCCCCAATTAGGACCCAGACCTGGCTAGGCCAGGAAGAACCTTGTCAAAGATGACAGAGGGCCCTTTCTACCATGGGCTTTTGGCTGGGGAGAGTGCATCCTCTCAGAACAGCCATGGGTGGACTGAGTGCTACATGCCTCATTTTGTTCTCTTAAACACTAGTTTAAGCCTTTGCCCTGCTAGACAGTTCAGCACAGCAAAAAGGACAACTCCTCTCAGACTATGAGGACATTCTTGAGCATCCTTCTCAGCTGCAGTCAAGAGAGCCATGCCTATGGCTAGCCTGAGGTTTCGGGACTGACCACCTGCCTGCTTTCAGCCAGGCTGAGGCACACTGGGATCTGTCGTCCCAGAGCCCGCCCATGCAGGCTAAGGCAGGCACTTTCTGCCCTGGACAGCTCCCACAGCCCTGCCTTCAACGCTGGGCCTGGCATTGTCCCGCCTGTGGTGTACAGATTCACTATTTCATTCATAATTTGTATCAGATGTTGAAACCTGGCCTCTGGGATCCTGAGCCAGCTGTCATGCTCCACTACCCCTGAGTTTGTAGGAATGTTCCAGGGAAGTTTGGTCCGTCTCCCCCCGCTCCCACCACGGCCTGCCTTTAGTTTCTTAAAATACCTTTCAGCATTTGGTGCAGAGACTCGGCACTTGGGAGCACTGAGCGCATCTGATGTGGTGGTGACAACCCAGGGCTGGGAAACTGCTGAGGAATGCCCGCTCCTGAGAGCCGACACAGAGAGCAAGAGCTCAGGAACTCCACGGGAGCCGTGGAGTGCAGAGGTCCGGGGTCCCTCAGCATCAAGGCCAACGTCAGCACAGCGCTGTTTTATACAACAGGTTTTATTGCAGTTGTGTCAATACAGTCAGTACTGCTGGTTTTCCTTTCAAAAGGAAGTCCGTTTTTTTTGGATTCCGAGTGGATTTTCCCCAAATGTGCTGTGACACTAGACTTCCTAAACCAGGTCAGAAATGAAATTATGTACTAACAATGAATATTTAAACCTTGATCTTAAAAAGAAAAGGAATCAAAATATTAAAATGCACCAAGGAAATGTCATTTTCATAGTTAAAAAACTGACATGTTTATCAAAGCTAGTCAGTTAAGTGGGCATCTGAAACTAAAGTCCCCTAAACTCCAGCCACCCCTCAAAGTCTTCTGGAATGAAACTTGAAAGCTCAGCTCCATGACAGTGTGTCCCTTGGTCCCTTCCTTGACCTCTTGGGCTCTCACGGGGAGCTGGTGGAGGATCCCTAACAGGTCAGACTATAGACACTTTGGCCAGGGGAGCAGGAGATCGAGCAAGGAACCCCCACTAGCATGGTTTGAGAACTGCCTCATCCAGCTCTCTTGGGTGCTTGGAAATGGAAATCCTACCAATAACCTCTTCTTCAAATACCACTAAGGGCTTGGGTTTCAGTCAAACTGCCTGAAGAATCTGTCAGGCGGGGAGGAGGACTGAAAGTGGCCTGAGAGAACCCCAACACTGCTGTCACAATTCAGCAGTCATCCTATGCTTTCAACAGGGACAGTTGGGAGTTGGCCAGAACTGCAGCAGTTTACAAGATCACGTTGGGTGACCCAGGTTCACACATGGTACAGGGAAGTGGGCTGGCTTGGCGGGGGTGAGGAGCGAGGCCTTGAGCTGGCCATGCTCGCATGGGCAAGAATGTCCCGTCTTTCCCCCAGCAGTAATCTCAGCTTGATCCACTCGGCTGGAACTAAGGACTGGGGATGGGAGGGGGATCCTGTCTGTCTCCAGGGAAGCATTGCTTGGGGAAAATGGCAGAAGCATCCAGAGCCAGCTCACTCCAGAGGAGCCTGCTGGCACCCTTTCTCTCAAAGCCTTAGCTTCTTGGGCTCTAATCCTGCTTAGAACAGGAAATTGGAACCAGAGGCTGGGAGGAGAGGAAGCCCCCACAGATTAACCCCTCTAGCGTGCACACATACCCATCGTATGGTTCTTATTAAGGAAAAGAAAGCAGGAGTCTCTTCATCCCCGAGCTTTGTGCACCTCATTGACTAAGGCTCTGCTTTGGGGATCCCTTGGGTTGGGGAAAGAAATCCCCTTACAATTTTATGAGAAAATTGAAGTTACTCCGAACACACATCCATCTAGCAGGGTGAGAGGTTAAGGGAGGGACACACATGATTGGCAGTTGGTGACCCACCTCACAGCCAGGCCCAGCACTGGACCCTTCCCTTCACAGAGACTGAGCTCTGGCCTGTAGTGATCCCTCGGGCTCTGTGTGGCTGCCCTTATGCTGGGGTAGACAGCAGGAAAGATGGAGATAAATGAAAAAGCTGCCTCCTGCCCCAGACTTATGCCCTTCCCTCTAGACACCCTTCCCCATGGCTGCAGCTGGAGCAGTGCAAGCAAGTGATCTTTTCCAGGAGCCTAAAGGGGCCACACAGCTGTACCAGCCATGACGGGCCTGAAGCCCTGCATAACTGCCGAGGTTGCTGTTTAGGCACGGTCTCCACACTGGGTGCCTCCATGGGGTCCCCCTTCTCTTCCCCCTGGCTCTTCAGGGAAGCTTCCATATGTGGGAGACCTCAGGGGAGCTGGGAGAGCCCCAGCCATGGACTGTGGGGGAAGCCACATCTCATTCCTCAAGCAGGTGCCAGGAGGAAATGCAGGCTTGGGGATGTGTCTCCCAGGGTGTAAGGGGAGCTCAGACTCAAAGCCCAGGGATCCTGAGGGGATGCAGATCTCCCACAGCTGAGCCAAGTGTCCTGGGGCCCTGTCTCCAGGCAGGGCAGGACTTAGGGTACAATCCCCACACAGCACAAGCACTTGGGTGAGAGACGGGGAGAGAAACTCGGGCCAGCCTCTTCCAGGAACAGTCTCAGCCCATGTGAAGGGAGAAAGCAGGTCAGTCTCCTCTGGCCAACGTCATGGCCACCACTGTTCCACCTTTGGATTTTTCTTGAAATGGAGGTTCTTTGTAACTGAGTAAGTCTCTCTACCACTAAAAAGGAGGAAGCCAGAGCAGCAGGGCCCCCTCTCGGGTTATGTGGGGCAGAGCAAGAATCCTGAAAAGGAGGAGTGGATGTACTCCGTGGAGTAGAGGCCGTTGGCCTGGTCTGAGGGCATCTGCACCCAGACCTGGTCGTTGGGCCTCAGCTGGAGCACTGCCCCACCAGATGCCTGGTCCAGGTAGCCCTTCTTGTACTCGTCGTAGGTATACGTGGCTGGAACGTTGTTCTTATATAGGGCCACCCACACGCTGGTGCCCTTGACATGCACATGGTAAGCAAAGTAGTAGACGCCGCCCACAGGGCAGGTGAAAATGCCAGTGGCAGGGTTGTAACCACTGTGGCCATTGTAGAGGGTCCGGTCAAACTTGACGGGCATGCCCGAGGCAGGAAAGGGGGACGTGAGCACAGCGGTGAAGGCAGGTGTGGTGTGGGCCGACAGCTCGCCCAGCCCAAACTGCGGCTTGCTCCCCTTGCCCAGGACAGCGCCCTCCACGCCGCCGTTGGGCAGGTGCAGCCCTGCAATGCCAGTTTCGTCAAAAGCCCCAGGGGCACCAGGAGGACCAGGAGGTCCTGGAGGCCCCGGAGGTCCAGTGAGTCCAGGGGAGCCAGGGACCCCAGGGGGCCCTGTGGGCCCAGCCAAGCCAGGCTCCCCCACCTTCCCTTCTCCGGGGGCCCCTGGCAGGCCTGGTTCACCCTTAAGACCTGGTAGACCCTGTGGCCCGATAGGGCCTGCGGGGCCCTGGAGTCCTGGGATTCCTGAGGGACCCCGCAAGCCAGGCTGTCCAGGGAGCCCCAACTCGCCCTTCTGCCCTAGGGCCCCCGCCACCCCAGGTCCCCCTGGGCGGCCAGCAAAACCAGGCTCACCTTTAGGTCCAGTTGGTCCAGGAAGTCCATGGGCCCCAGGAAGTCCCCTTTCTCCTGGGAGTCCAGGTTTCCCAGCCAAGCCATTGGGCCCTTGATCACCCCGAATACCAGGTACTCCAGGGGGTCCTGCGGGCCCTGCCTCCCCTTTAGGCCCTGAGGGTCCACGTCTGCCAGGAAGCCCTGCAGACCCAGGAAGTCCAGGGGGTCCCCCCAGACCCTGTGGGCCCTGTTCACCTGGTTCTCCATCCTCGCCTGGCTCACCCCTGTCCCCCAGGAGCCCTGGGATGCCAGCTGGGCCTCTGTCCCCCTTGGGGCCTGGCAGTCCTGGCATCCCATAGCCAGTGGGTCCTATCAGACCAGGGGGGCCCCTGACTCCAGGTTCCCCTTTGGCCCCTGCAGGGCCCTGTAGCCCAGGCAACCCTGCTGCCCCTGGCACCCCTACACCATCCACGCCGGGAGGCCCTTTTGAGCCCACAGCCCCAGGCTCCCCTCTGGGGCCTGGCACCCCAGGAGGCCCAGACTCACCCTTGTCTCCAGGGGCCCCAGGAAGTCCATCCAGCCCTGGTTTGCCCAAGCCAGCTGGACCAGGGAGGCCAGGGGGCCCTGGGGCACCCCCCTGCCCTGGGGGCCCAGGAAGCCCAGGCTGGCCCACTCCATTGTCCCCCTTGAGGCCTCGACTACCAGGAGGCCCAAGTTCCCCCTGAGGCCCTGGTTCCCCTCGGAACCCTGGGGGCCCTGGCACCCCCTGGGGACCAGGTTTTCCAGGGACAGCAATGCCTGAGGGACCTGGAAGGCCAGGGGGTCCTGGGGGCCCCCGAAGGCCTTGGTCCCCTCGTATCCCTGGCTCCCCTCGAAGCCCCGGCTGTCCTGGAGGCCCGACCTTGCCTGGGAGCCCTGGCGGACCAGCTTTGCCCATTCTGGAGAAACCAGGGGGGCCAGCAGGACCAGGCTGCCCATGTAGCCCTGGCTTCCCAGTGCCTGGTTTCCCTGGGAATCCGGGAGGGCCCGGAGGGCCCCGTGGTCCAGGCTTCCCGGGGGGGCCGGGCTCTCCTTTCAAGTCCATCGGCAGCAGTGGTAGAGGCATTTCTGAGGAAAAAAGCAAGATGAGACAGTCAGGGCACTGGGACAGCAGGGACCCCTCCCCACACACTAGTAAGAAGTACACAGGGGGAGGGGCAAATATCTGTAGTCTCCCCCTCTCTGCACACACCTCCCTGACTTCATGGAAGATGGAGTTTGGGGGTGACCCAGCAGCCATCTGTGGGCCTGCAGGTGTCTTCACTCATAGCTCCTAGCATCCAGCCTTCCAGGGCAGAGGGCTTTCTCAATGAGCTTCAGGAGAGGGAGCACACGGCCACCAGGTGGCACCAGTGGGCAGCCTTAGAAGGACAAAGCAGCCTTCTTATCTCTGTATTTGTCCTCCCTGCATCTGAAGACCACCTCTGTCAGTCAGGTGCACCACTTTGTGGCACTCCAGGGATCAGAGACCCTCAACTAGCATAAAGAAGAAGAGTGGACGCGGGAAGTTTTGGAGATGGGAGGGGTTGAGTTGAGGGTTAGGAAGCCTGGTTTGGGGTGTCTGGTACAGATGAGATTGGGTGTCCAGGGCCAGGAGTTGCAGTGGGAAAGCACTCACCCAGGTACTGGCCTTTGCCCTCACGGAAGGGTGGGCCCACGGGTCCTTTGTGCATGGGCTGCACGTACTTCACTGGGGCATAGCCGGCTGCTGCGCCAGCCCCACCGCCAGTGGCCACCCTCAGCCAACTCCCCAGCACCAGCAGCAGCAGCAGCAGAAGCGGTGGTTGTGGTGAAGACAGGGGCGTCAGAGCACCCCGCATGGCGCCCGCAGGCGTGCTGCAGGGAAGAACAGCAAGAGGTCATCAAGCTAGCCCCTCTGTGGTCTGGCACCAGGCCCAGTGGTTCACAAAAAGAAGATGAGACAGTATTCACAACCCATTAATTTTCTAACTCACAGGGGTCTACAGAAGTTATCCCTGAACCTCTACCAAACCTCCCTCCACCTCCACCACACTTCCCTGGGCCCAGCCTCACCCAGAGAGCTGCCTCCTCTCTGCCTTCCCTCAGCCAGTCGCCCTCTGCAGCCAGACCTGCTAACAGTCCTTTGAGGATAATGCTCCTGGTCATTTGCTAGGCTCTCTGCCAGGTACTGGGCTAAGCTCTTTGCAGATAAAAACTCACTTAATCCTCACAACACTTTAACAAGGAAGTAGTATTGTCATCTCATTTTCCAGACAATAAAACTAAAGCAAAGGTCACTAAGAAAAAGAGTTGGGGTCTGACATGGGTCTGTCTGCCTCCAAATTATGGTGCTGCTCTCCTAGGACTCCTAACTGCCATCAGGATCAAGTCCGTGGTGCTCAGCACGGCATTCAAGACCTTCTGAAGGGAAGCTGTACCAATATCTCTTACCCTATTCTTACTATTCCCACCACCCCTTCCTCTATCCCTCACTCATACACCCACACACTTTGCCTTAATAACAAGAACTCTGTAGAGGTTGCCGACACCAGGTGGCCTCTCACCCTTCTGGGCCTTTGCATTTGCTGTTTCCCTGCAATGTTCTTCCTTTCTTCCTCACATGGCAAACTCTAACCCTTTGTCTTCATTATCTAGTCCTTCTATAACAGAAATACCACAACTGAATGACTTTCAAAAACCAAAAACTGTTCTCTCACAACTTACGAGGCTAGAAGACTGAATTCAGCTGTAGTGGAAGGATTTTTTTTTTATCACTTTCGGGAAGGTTCCTGTTTCCTTTCAACATCTGGGGCCTAGAATTACTTAGAGATCTCTGATGTCATGGTATCAATCTTCCCGTGGACCTAGGAGGCTCTCTGCACTGAAGTCTCTCTCCACCTAGCACATATTTTTTTCTTTTATAAAATGAAGGTCACAACACAGGGGAACTCCCTTTATATTGGAACAGGGCTGTAACCTGAGTAAATGTGTATCCCACTCTAATCCTGCCTTGTTAGTGGCACATAACAACAACAATCATAAGTTTTATTTGTGGAGCCAAGTAAAATAAAATTGTTGACAACTTCAATCTTTTCTCCATCTATCATGACATTGCCTATTGGCCAGTGGTAAGAATATTTGTTTCCTTGATGTTTATATATAATCCACACTGAAGGCTGTAGTCTTTGATCTTCCGCAGTAAGTGCTTCAAGTCTTCTCCACTTTTTGCAAGTAACAGGGTTATATCATCTGCGTTACACAGGTTGTTGATGAGTCTTCCTCCAGTCCTGATGCCACTTTATTCCATATATAGTAAAGCTTCTTTTATATATATTTGTATATAAAGGTAACATTTTTAATTTTGTTATTTTAACAACAGTTTACGGAAAAGTTAGATTTTTCATTTATTCATTCATTCTTGCACATTTCCCCCCTTCTCCCCAGTTCACTTTTATTTTTTTTATTCATTGTTGCACAATTACCTCCCGTCCCCTCAGTCCTTTGCAATGTAACTCTTATTCTGGGCTAGTGTCGTATGTATAATGCCTAGTCATATATTCCTTCTAAACAGTTCTTTTCTTCCTCTGTTCCAATGCAATGTTCATAATCTATCCTCTCTTATCCTATTCTCCACCCACCCCTCCATATGTCAGTCTTGCTTTACAACAGTGGTGCTATTCAGTATTTGTCCTTTTGTGACTGAGATATTTCACTCAGTATAATGTCCTCCAAGGTCACCCACGTTGTGTAATGTTTTATGAGTTCACTGTTTTTCAGTGCTGTGTAGTATTCCGTCATAGTCCATCGTTTGTTGATGGGCAGTTGGGTTGCTCTCATCTCTTTGCTATTATAAAATAACTCAGCAATAAACATAGGTGTGAATACATCTGTTTGGGTGGTGGTTCTGGTTGCTTTAGGGTTTATTCCTAGTAGTGGAATTGCTGGACTAAATGGTATTTCTATTTCTGACTTTTTGAGAAAGTGCCAAACAGCCTTCCATAGTGGTTGCACCATTTACGCTTCCACCAGCAGTAAATAAAGGTTCCAATCGCTCCACAACCTCACAAGCATTTATTGTTTGCTGTTCTGTTGAATTTTGCTATTGTTACTGGGGTGAGATAATATCTCATAGTTGTTTTTATTTGTATCTATCTGAAAACTAGGGATTTTGAAAATTTCTTCATGTGTTTGTTTGCCATCTGAGTATCTTTGTTGGTGAAGTACCTGTTCATACCTTATTCCTCTTTTGAGATTGGGTTATTTACCTTTTTTCTTACTGAGGTGCTGGAGTATTCTATAAATCTTAGATTATGAGTCCTTTATGAGATTATCTCATTAGTGAATATTTTTTCCCAGTCTGTGGCTTTCCTTTTTCACCCTATTGGAGAAGTTTTTTAATGTGTATTGGCATTTGATTCTTATAAGGTCTCAATTGTCTATTTTGTTCTCTTCTGGTTGTAGGATAGTAGCATACAGAATGAATAGTTACAGAGAAAGGATTCAAGTCTGATGCACATCTTTTCTGATTTTAAACTATACAGTGTTTTCTTGTTCTGTTCAAACAACTGCTTCTTGGTTTACATTTTAGTGTGAGCACATTAAGAGTTCTGAGACTCCCATTCTTCTCAATGTTATCTACACAGTCAAATGCCTTTACATAGTCAATAAAACACATGTAAACATCTTTTTTGATATACTCTGTTTTCAGCCAAGATCCACTTGACATCAGAAATTATATCCCTTGTGCTACTGCCTCTTCTGGATCCAGCTTGCATTTTGTGGCAGTTTTCCTGTTGATTTATTGTTTCAGCCCTTTTTTAATAATCTTCATCAAGTGATACTAAGGATATTGTTAGAGCATTTCCAAACTCTTTTGCTCTCTTGATCACCTTCTTTGGCAATGGGAACAAATACAGATCTTTTCTAGTCCGTTGGCCTGGTAGCTGTCTTCCAAATTTGTTGGCAGAGACAGGTGAGCTTGTTTAGGGCTGCATCTGCTCCCTGAAATGCCTCAGTCAGTATTCAGTCCATTCCTGGGGCTTTTTTTTTTTTGTCAATACCTTCAGTGCAACTTAAGACTTCTTTCTTTGTTACCATTGGTTCTTCATCATATGAAACTTCCTGATATGTCAACCAATTCCTTTTGATAGTGTGCATTCCTTTCACCTTCTTTTGATGCTTCCTGCACTGTTTAAGATTCTGCCATAGCAACTCTAGGCTTGAATTTGTTCTTCAATTTTTTTTCTTGAGAAATGCTAAGCATGTTCTTTCCTTCTGGCTTTCTAACTCCACCTTCTTGTGCATTTTTTAGAATTTTTTTATGATTTTATTTTGTTGTGCCTCCCTAAGGTGCCCTTTGACATCTTCTATACATCTTTTTTTTTTTAATTTTTATTATTATTTTGTGTGTGTGTGTGTACCATCAAATCAGGTCTGACTGGTACTGGAGGAGATTGCCCCTCCTTCTCCAGCAGAGCACCTGGTGGATTATACATCTCTTTTACTTCAGCAATTTTCCCAGTTGTTTTGGCTTCAGTGCAGTTTTGGAGTCTCTCCTGATATCCATTTGCTTCTTTCTTTTCTCTTCTCTTCTCTTCTCTTCTCTTCTCTTCCTTCCTTCCTTTCTTCCTCCCTCCCTCCCTCCCTCCCTTCTTTCCTTCCTTCTCTTTGTAATGACGATGATGTCCTTGGTGTCATCTCACAACTCATCTGGTCTGTGGTCATAAGTGTTCAATGCACTGAATCTGTTGATTTTTAAATTCAATTGAGATAGACCCAACTGAACTCAAGGTCAGTATTTTGGTTCTCATGGACTTGTTTTAATTTTCTTTACCTTCAATTTGAACTTTCATATGAGTAGTTGATGATCTGTTCTACAGTCAGCCTCTGACCTTATTTTGATGTTGATATTGAGATGCCGATATTGATATTGATATTGCTGATATTGAGCTTCTCCACCAACTCTTCCCACAGATGTAGTCAATCGTCCATCAAGTGAGATTCATGTATATTGTCACTGTCTACGGGTTTGTTTTTAAAACAAGCAAAAACCAAACAAACCACAAAGCATCTCCTTGTCACACTCTAAAGGCAGCTCACACTCTGGCTCCAAGTCAGTGAACTTAAGTCTGTGATCTTACCCTTTAGATCAAGGTGACCACGGTCCCACCCTTTGAAATACAAAAGGCTCTGTTCCCTGTGCTCATCCCAAGAGATGTGCTGATCTTTGAGTTGCTCCCAGGATGATTCTTTTTTTCTTCTCTTAGAGGACAGCAGTTGTCACTCTCTTGGCTGGCAACAGAATTCCAAAAGGCAGGCAACACTTTCTCCTTCTGTTATTCCTCTGTCCCTTTCTGGGCTAAGCAAATGAATCCTCTGATGTGGTAGCTGGTTATATCCATTAGTGACAAGTCTAATCTATTTAACACAAGATTATGTAACTACAACGTTGATGAATGATCTAGGACACATGCCAACAGAATTTTGTTGTACAACAGAATTTTCCAAATATTTACATTCTGTTTCCATTCTGCACAGTTCGTTTTAAAATCTGTTTCCTCTTGTGTTTTACTATAAGCAGCAAAGACAAACCACAGATGCCCTTTAAGGTCCTTCTTGAAAATCTCATCAGCTAGCTATCCAACTTTATCCCTTACAAGTTCTACATTCCCTCAAACATTTGAACATATTTCAGACAAGCTTTTTGCCACTGTATAAAAATCCTCACCTTTCTGCCACTGTCCAGTCGTATCCATATTTCTAGCAACATTCTATTATTGACACTATATATATTTGCTAAAATAACAGATATTTTCTTTCTCTGTATTTCTCCCCACTTGTTTCTGAGACCTCACCAGAA